CTGAGAGTACATGGTAGCGTCAAAGATGTATCTTTCCGAAAGTGCGTGGAGAATCAAAATCGAAACTGTTGAAATGAAAAATAACGAATAAATGGGATAACCATTTTTTGTGTGTTTTACCTTACACTTTTTCAAACTATTTTGTGTTAGTTCATCGTTTATTTTATGTACACTCAAATCAGAGCACTCAGTAGATAAATGCAGATTGCTACCCCAATTATCCTGGTTTTTCTACTCTATTATCCTTACTTAGTGATGGTCAGGTCACCTTTATTCTCACATTTTTTTCACAAGTACACCGCCTAAACCGATAACAAAAAACTGGGGAGCGAGAATGCACGAATAATTGTCATTCAGCTAAAATCAAATGTCTAAACAAAATAGTCATTTTTGCACTAAATCCGTACTGACTTGGTTTCATACTAAATCAAATCGATTAGAGTATTTTTGGTTCATCGCTTTAGATTGCAGACCTTGATGGTCAAGTGAAGCAGTGAAGTAGGAAGGTAGGGGGATAAATCCATCCGCGGAACTTTTCATAATTTTCATATGACAAATTTACAGAGTAAAAAAACGGAAACAAGGAAACTGGGAACCACTGTACAACTGTTCTAAACTCAATGAGTCCCATCAGAAGGATCAAACCATGGAACTCAGAGGAGGACGTAAGCATACTACCTAATAAAGAAGAGGAATGTTTTTGTTCCGATCATTGTTGATGGAAACCTTTTTCAAGCCCCAAATTTTCACAATAAACATTAGCTTTTAAGTCAGTCTTTTTGTTTTGGTATCTGCAACAAAATTCGCAAGCAGTAACCAGTCTAGAATGAACTGCAAATTTTACCATGATTCTGATCCACAATACAGATTGCAGTCAGTCGTCAGCTGCAGCATCTATGCACGGGCGATTTGGAAGCCGAACTGCAAACGTATCCACCGTTCCCCGGGGTTGAGAAAAACTATCTTCGAGCACAAATTGCGAGAATTACAGCAAACACAACAATTTCACCGATAAATTTCTACCAGTTTGACGAGGAAGAGGAAGAGGGTGGCATGGAAGAGGATGCATCTCGTGAAACGTTTGTTGTAAATCCGGACTACGAACCGGTTTCGATATTTGAACTTTCGGATCCCAGTCTGGCCAACTGGGTGCATCATGCCTCGTATATTCTTCCGCAAGGACGAACGGTGTGGTGAGTTGGTAGAAATAAAAAAAAACTGTATGATGATTAGAACTAGCAAGAGAATGTTGGCTAGAATAAACGATCACTTAAGGTCATTAGTAAAATTTACTCTAATTGATTTAGCTGGTTTGAAATAGCCTATTAATTTGAAGTTAAGAAGATCATTAGGATAGTGGTACGTTCCGATAGATGTGAGAAAAGACTAGTGGAGGCAATGTCCTACAGCATAGACATGCAAGCTAACTTCGGTCAAGTAGGTTATAGTAAGCAGAAGGACAAATAATCTTGATAAAAACTTACTGGTAATTATTTTTTGTAAGAAAGCCAATGATCCAACGCATTCACTGTCAGCTTGCAACATAATCAGGGACCAGTTAAATCAAGTCAAGTGAATTCTTTATGCACCTGAGCGAGTGAAAATTCAGCGGCAAAAATGGAGGACAAATCAGAACAGGGACAAGGAAACACAAAGTTTATAGCTGTCCAACTTGAGGGATGCATTTGTAGTCCGTCTCTGAGTAGTTTTTATTATTAACCTTATGAGAAAGCACAGAGCATGATAAAATAAACTATAGTATAATTCAGTAATTTCAGTAAACATATTTATCAAGTTGATTAAACAAATATAGTTAAGGAAGAACATATTTGTGAAGCACACCTCACACATAAATCATACTTGGCTCTGTTTGGACTTTAAAACCTTCGATAATTGTCATAGGAGTACTAGAAAAATGTGTAGGAGGCTTCTGATTAGATGTTTTTTCAAATCAGATAAAACGTGACTAAGTTGGAGATCACAAGTCCATAGCAAGGGTAGTTCTATCCATTTCTTTGTTCGCAGTAGAACTAGTAATCACGAATTACCGGGAACTATCATCACTGTGACTGTTTAACCTACATTTCACTCTGTTTATATCTCAACCCCCTCTTCCACTATCATTATTGTTGTGTTGGCACCAAGCTTAGTTGCAAACCGGTGATATTCAAATATTTGTATTTACCTTCAGCAGCGTATAGCCATCGTGCGTTGAACCCGAGCATAGAGGGGGAATGGATATTATATATATATATATATATATAACACCAATCTTTACAGATACGGCGCCAAATAACCATGGGTGAAAGAAAAAAATATATGTACAAAGCGGGGAAAATAAAACAGTCAGCTTCGGGGAGTAAAATGTTTTTTGTTTGTTTACTGCAAGCCATTTTGAGTTTACGATCGCACACTAACCCCTTAGGCTATCTGGCCTAGTCAGTTTTATTCAACCGGGTTCTGAAAACCTGAGATACTTGGTGCCACCTTACATTGTTCAGCACTTTCGCAGTTGTTGAGTTCTTTTTCATTGTGAAGTACTGATCAACTAGTCTGAAATTAACGTTTCTTCACAAGGTGGAATCCAAATCAAAAATCCAGTGGCGGTAGTGGGGATGAAGATGATAAAACGGATGAAGAGGACGAGGAATTGGAAGAGGTGGATGAACCGGAACCGGAAACTGGACCGCCACTGCTCACACCGCTATCTGAAGATGCTGAGGTGAACGGACTACCGCCGTGGTCTACCCGTATCACATCTCGTCTGATACCGCATTATGCCTATGCAGTCCTATCCTCAAACCTATGGCCCGGTGCTCATGCTGTTGCTTCAGGCCGGTAAGTCTCACATTGTCTCCGGTTTTGCACTTTTTTCTTTTAACTGAAATAAAAGGGAAACTAATTATTTTGGTAAGCAGATTTGGATTTCGGCAGTCCTTCAAGGTAATTCAGTTCAGTATATACAACAAAAAAACTTTTAATATCGCGCGACGGTTTTGGTTGTTGTCTTTAGGCTGTTCAAAAGAAATCTAGTTGGTTGAGCAAGTCAAGTAGATCAAGGAAATTACCTTTGGTCAACAAAATACTTAAGTACAAGCTGAAACCCATCAGATAAGTATTAAGGGCTCTATCCGACCATTTATGAATTTCGGCATATATATGAGGTTGAATAAAGAAGCCAAAAGCACAGGTTTGCACAATGTATCCTGGATCATTTCGCTGCATCTGTACACGTGCATACTGCAGTCTATGTTTAGTTCAGTTCAGTTCTTACACCCATTTTGTTTTGCTGTTTCGTTTGCTGTCTTTTGGTTTCCCATTTGGATAAAAGAGCGAAATGAAGATTGGAATGTCGAAGCAAATTCAGGCGAAAGATGGGGAATACATATAGAGTGGTGTTAGGAAAATAACGAGTGGTTGCATGAGCGCCACTGTTTGAGACACCCAGCCGTATCGCTCGGTGTCTCTAACCACCGATTACGATCATCCATAGGTCCCCAGCCAGGGAGCCTAACAGGGCCTATGTGACCTAGTCTCCTGGTTAGGGTTTCCATACCCCCATGCCAGGTCTTAGCTTGACCGCCCTTCGTTTTTTTCCAATCGCTACCAGCCTCGGCAAGCATCGCTCGCCGTGGCAACCTATCTGATGACATGCGTAGCACATATCCCAACCAGCGTAATCTACGGAGGTCAACTACCTGTTGCAGTGAGCGACCGCAGTTATCTAAAGCTCTACGCCTAACCTCAGCATTGCTCGTCAGGTTTTCCCACCAGACTCGTGCAATGCTACGTAGACAGCGGGGTTCGAACACCGACAATCTATTTTTATCCTGTTCCGGTAATGGCCAAGTCTCTGCACCGTAAAGCAGAACTGGTGGAACTGCTGAAGCATATACTCGACCCTTCACAGACAGCCGGATGTCGCGACGGCGCCACAGATGTCCCAAGTTGGCAAATGCCAACCATTCATATATGGTTAGTAAATAACAGAATCATAGGCGGATAAAGATTGCGGTCAAAATTACTCACCAAACACATTGGCGCTACTTTGGTAAGGCTACCAAGGTAGCGCCAGAGTGATAAGGTATTCACGCTGTTTACACACTGGGATGGTAATTTTGAATGGCTAGGGCCTCGACGTATTTTAGAACCTTAGTGTTGTTGTTGGTATTGTTTGTGTTGTAGAGGATTCTGAACGCGTCGCGCTGCATGACGCAGTGTTTCATTTCGACCAGGTTTTGTGTGATCGACGAACTGAGTTGCCTACGCGTCATGGGTGACCTCATACTTCCGAAGTTCCCACTCATTGTTTTCTGAAGCCAGACCGCAGTATGCACGTGTACAGATGCAGCGAAATGATCCAGGATACATTGTGCAAACCTGTGTTTTTGGCTTCTTTATCCAAATTCGTTACGGGGGAACTATGCTTCCAATATATATGAGGCTCCAAGATTACGATAAGCTAAAAGAGAAGTGTATAAAAAAAACGATCTCTCAACGACAACATATTTATTATCAACGTAACACCAGAGAGACAATTTGTTCACACTGTTTGACAGTTGGGGAGGAAAACATGCTTTCTGGAAGATTTGTTAGATTCAGCTCACCACCCTGATTTTGAAAACTAACAAGATAAGATATGAAAATATTCTGCACAAAATGCTCTATGCTAGAGAAACTGAAACCTACGAACTTCCCTTTTCTAGGTCAAAAAACATAATGGACATCTTTACCTATGTCCCAAACTAAAAGTAATTATAGCTCAAAATCCTAGCCATAGACCCGAGTCTCTATTCGTATGGTTGGGAGCTTCGGGACGCACTAAAAGCATATGCAAATATTCAGAAAACAGGTCCTCATCTTACATGTAGTATATGGCAGTCACATTTTTCTGCCTTCAATATTTCCCATCTAAGGTGAATTTTCTCAAAATAGTTCTATTTCACCTGTTCACAGAGCTACGAGAACCGATTATCAATACTTTCTTAAAATAGTATTAGCTTACTCATGAGTAGACAATGCTAATAATAAGAGACGGTATTTGGTAGTTAACGTCCCAACACGCTCAGAAAATGTTGCATTCTCCATCACGTTTAACAACAAGTAATCATGGAATGATGCCATTTGACAGCCAAAGGGATGACTTTCTATTCACGGACAAGAAATTTCACGATCATTCAACATATCAGTAAAATGATTATGACTCATATTCGCACAATATTCTGTTAATTTAAATGGTCAATCATGTACGTCTTCCAATTTTCTGTCCCATTGTTTGAAGGACTATTTACGGTGCATGATGTCCGGAATCATTTCCCTCAAATAATAAATTCTGAAATAAAATCCTAAGAGCGATCAGCTTTCCTAGCATTGAATAAAGTAAGAATGTGTTTTTCTCTTCTGTGAATCCAGTTCGCCGAAAATTTATGTTACTCCGTTTCACGTTTGATAACTTTTACTTTATTTGCTCGAATCCTGTTTTCTGTTGAAATTTACATGAATTTCGTTTCTGGTATTTGTCGGAACAGTCCCACAGAGCACATTTCAAACAAAACAGCGTGGTGAACAAGCTCGTTTTCAGAGATTTGCATTCATATCAATACATCTCAATATATACCTTCACTTGGGAATAAACCTGTCTTGGGAAAATCAAATCAAATCACAGATTACTACTAGAATCGATTTCATCATGAGACCGGAAATCGGATTTACCACGTTCACGTTTGTTTATCCACTCATCCGATCACCGAGGTTACTTGTGATACGGTGTGTGTGTGTGGGGGGGGGACAAGGAAGCTTTAGCCCTAGCACAAATTGTTTTTGGATACACAGAGGGGGACTGTGCAGAAAAATGCCCACCGCTTCTGCTCTAACCGCATCCGACAGCGAACCTACCTCGATAATCGCCCACGAACTTTATACAGGGGACGGGAAGCCTCGGCCACGTCCACAGGGTGATTTGTTTCAGCTAGGTTTGAGACCACTGCACTTAGTCGTTTCCGTGTTCAGTCAGGCAGAGTGGTGTTTACGAATCCGTTCGGACAATCGTCCGAGCGTGCGGTCTATTTACGTATTTACCGAGCATAAAAATGTTGCGTTCCTATCCGTCAGATTACGGATCGAGTGAGAACAATTGCGTTGCATGTTACTCCATCCCCAAAATGAATTTGAGTGAAAAACGTTTTACCTAAACAAGTACAGATAATCGGAACGAATTGGTGAATAGTGGAGGCATTTACACCCCAAGCGGATGGTGTCGGTAGAACTGTAACACAAGCGATCCAGAATTGGTTTGTGGTGCCAATACTGCGGGGGTTGTTCAAGTCAACTCATGTGCACGCGGAACTCGAAACCGGGACATTCAGATAGCCATAGCCAAACGACAATTGCTTGCACTTGATGACCCTACATAAAACAAAAGAAACATTCATCCGACACTCGCTTGACTATTTAGTAATATATATGTCTTGCAAGACCCAGAGAAATTCATGGTACGAAACAACGATCTGTGATTCGGTTGTTGCCGTGGTATCGCCATGATTGCGGAGCCTAAGGATTGGGTCTAGGAGATGAAAAACAGACGGCGTGCCCAGACGAGCAAGGGCACAGTTCGATCTTGTAACGATGGTGAATAAACAAAATATAGAACTGCCAGGATAGGGTTGAGGTTGTTGCATTCGCTGTAAAAACGAAAAAAATCAACCAACAGGCCCTGGCTATACCGACAAAAATAGTTGAATGACACTAGCTCGAACACATCTCACGTGAAACACACTGGTGCTGTTTGTTGCAGTCATGTCGGGAAGTGGATTAGGGGCATGAAAGTTAAACGTAAAAGGGATTGTACTGTGTAAATCAATTTCATATGTGGGGAATCCATCTGGAGGGGATCGCTACACTTGGTGTGGAAACAAGACTTCAAATATCAGCGGAATTATTGTGTTGCTACCCCAATATTTGAACTTTATGCGAATGGCTAAACAACCAAAACGTCTCGTCCTAGTATGAAATTTGCCGTAATGATCGCTATGACCTACGTCCCTTATGGATAGCCCCAATGAGTTTAACGGGTGGCCATAACTCGAGCACAGCTACGACACGCAAAAAATAGACGCGAACTGGAGATGTGGTCTTGATCTCTGTGAACCGGTTTCAAAGTGCTGAATGACAAACGAATTTCGATACCGATAATAACCAAATTGCAGTTCGAGTAGAATACTGAAATTTGAGGAGACTAGTGCAAGCAGTCCGTTGCTTAACACAGCCGGCCTGTACCGCGGCTGAACCCGGAACTAATGTGAATTTAATCAAAAGCTCAGAAATGTTTTATAAAATCAACTACACCATTTTAAGTTAGATTGGAGTAACTATAATTTTCATTTGCGAAACCGTCATTTTGAATAGAGAAATCATCTTCAGATGGTGAATGTT